TATGGTCTCTACCCTCATCACGATTCCATTACAGTAATTATACTGCATTATAGTATCAGTAGCTTCCCATTGTTCATAAAATAAAACCAACTTTCTTAATATGGACCACCCAAAACTACAAATGACTTAGACTGTAACTTTAATGAGGATTAGAACCATGTTAAGTTTGCTGTCCATTAACATGTTGTGTAGCACAGTGCATAGAATGTAGTAGAATAAAAACTTTTTATGTAATTAATTAATCCAAGATCTTACATAATCTACCTCCTTTTTATCTCTCCAATGTATTTAGAACTGCTTTTTTCAGTGAGTGACTATTGCTGCCATAGTCGTTGTTGAATGTTTCTTTGGTGTTTGTGATTATGAAGCCAAAGTGAAACAGTTTCATTCTGTGATTTTTTATTTGTTTTTTACTTTACCCCCTAGGTCCAAGCATAGAGAAGGCAAATAGTTGGGTTCTACCTAGTGTGCTGTTTATTCTCTGTTTGACCACAAATCCATTTCCTTCCTTGACCTGTCTGTGCCTGGGGGCAGGGGGTGGTGCTTATCTTCATAGTGTTTCAACTGGGCCATCTGACCTGACTCTCTGCCTTGCAGTTCAGACAATAGGAAACACCTGCAGGAGATCAAAATACAGAAAGACACAGATATTTGTTTCTACATCCACCCTTTACTTTGATACAGTGTTGTCAGTGGCTTTGTTTCTCTGTAACCAGAGATCCTACTGGGGCCTCTCTTCCACAACTCCAGTGCTCCCCTGGTTTGAGCAATATTGCTGCCTCCCCTTGCCCCTTCAGGCCTGGGGGTGGTAGTGGCTTCCTGCTTTTACTAGCTCCTGGGTGCTTCTTGCTGGTTCCCTTGACCCTGCCAACACCTCCATAAATATTCCCTTTATTAAACTCCTTTCAGTGAAACCCTTTCCTTGTGCTGTTTCCTGCTTAGACCCTATGGGCATTCTCTACTGCTACAAGCATAGATGGGATAAAAAGTGAGATATTTGCACTTTTAATCTTTAACAGCACTCCTGGGCTTTCTTGTTTCAAGAGATGCCCTGTCCCTGCCGGGTTGAGGATCATCTAACTCTAGAATGGGAGATCTGTCCTCCTAGTCCTACACAGAAAATCACAATAAAAATTACAAAAGGAAAAAAAACCACTCGCTGCAGAGGTATCAACTTAGCATCTTCATTGACCTCTGTATCGCAAATAATCATTAAGGATTTTGTTGTGTTGGGAAGTATGACTGGCACTTGGTATTGAAAACCATATGGAACACATAAGACTCCTGCCTTCCTGGACCCTATGGTCTAGTGTGGAAGATGTATCCAACACAAGCAGTGTCACTAAATTAAACTAAAATTGTAATGATTCTGATTCAAGATGTTGAACTGTAAACATGATTTACTCCCTCTAAGTGCTCATTAAATGGCTAGAGAAATATTAAAATAAGAATAATTCTAAATCAGTACTTGAATAAGAGATACTGTACTAGATTGAATTACATACTTTGAGTCATTTATGAAATTTATAAATCATTTTGGATCAGATTTATAGAAAAACTAGAAGGAAAAAAATCTGCAAACCAATGTTTAGGTATGTACATGGGGAGGACAGAAATTATTAGCTAGGGAAAGAGGAATTGGAAAAGTTAAAGCTTGATGCAGAGGTGGGAAATATTCTCATTAGGAGATCCATGGAATACTACAAGCTTGAAATCAATAGAAATGGTAACAGAAATTGAAAGCAATAAATTAGTGAATTGATAACTATTCTCGTATTGCCAGAATAGCTGGGTCACTTTAGTATTCTGTGCACACAAAGTGACAGTGTAATTTGCTCCCTATATAAAATGAAGATGGTGCCTCTGTATCTTCAAATCAGGTAATTGAAGTGGGGTCAGATAAAGAGAATCAGAGGCAATTCAAAGTAATTTCAGTTCTCCAAGTTAGAAATCAAGAAAAAGTATGGAAAGACAGCTCCATAGATAAGCAAAATATACTGTAGCATCTCTGGCTCCATGTATAAAAGTTTCTCTATCCTAGCAAAAGAAAAGGGAACCCACCTCAACTTTCCATTTTACCCTTGACAGCCTGAGGAGGATAATGCCTCTTAGCAAATCCCTACACAGTGACCTACAGGCTCCTACAATTGGAGCACAGGAAAAGTGACCTTCACTGCCTCTGAGGAAACGGACACCAACTACCCAAACTGATTAATCCTCATCTGTGGACAGGTAGATAACAGTCAGAATCTACAGATATTTAAGAAATGAAGGACCAGGTTAAACAAGCAGAAAAATTAATCCTTTAGAGAAAAGAGTGAATGTATAAAAAAAATTATAAAATGTGAAATAATATTTTACAAATGTCCTTTTTAATGCATCTTTGAACTGGCAAAATGTACAGGAATGTAAGTCACCATGAAAGACAAGAAACAGTTAATTCAAAGGGCTATTGCTACCATTTAGCTGAATGTCTTTACAGTATAATACTGAAATATTTTTATATATTGATGAACATTTAGCATAGGCAATCAAGGAAAATGAAAAAAGCACAAGGAAGCAATGCTAGGAATGAAATAGGAATAGACTACAGACACAGTAGAAAATAAAATATAATCATAAAATAATATGAAAAAATTTCTGACAGTAAATCTGAATAAAATTTAAAGCAAATAATATAAAATGTAAAATGAAGACATTTTTCTATCTTTAGGATAGAGTTGATGAACATTTAGCATAGGCAATCAAGGAAAATGAAAAAAGCACAAGGAAACAATGCTAGGAATGAAATAGGAATAGACTACAGACACAGTAGAAAATAAAATATAATCATAAAATAATATGAAAAAATTTCTGACAGTAAATCTGACTAAAATTTAAAGCAAATAATATAAAATGTAAAATGAAGACATTTTTCTATCTTTAGGATAGAAAGATTTTTTTTTCTTTGCAGGAAAAAAACTGCAAATGTTTACAAAAGGAAATTTTAAAAGATACACTTCAGGCAGAAGAACACACATCCCACTTGGAAGATCTGAGATGAAAAATGTATGCATTTTAAGCTATGGGTTAGTCTGCTGCAACAAAGATTTCTAAAAATATAGTGGCTCAATCCAGATACAAGTTTATTTCTGTTTCAGGTTCAAGTCAGGGTTGGTGCCCAGACAGCATGAGGAAGACAGATTCTTCCATATTATTGCTCTGCCATTTTCAATTCACATTTCCACCTCATTATCAAAGAAAGCTGCTTCAGATCCCAACTTCATATCCACATTCCAAGCATCGGCAAATGGTATAAATGGTAAGAGAGAGCAAACCACTTCCATTTACAGCCTACAAAAACAAAGTACTTCTAGGGTCAAGAAAGTTGTTTCCCAACATACGTGATGCATCATAGCTCGGGGTTACCAGGACAACTTGCCATAGTTGAAGTCCTAGACCTAGAACCAACCTGATGAGAAGGTGTAATTCCTCCCACAATAAGAACTCATACCAGTCCTCTCTAATTCATCCATATGTGCCAAAAAAACTAAAGACATAATACTCAGTCTCTCTGAGACAAAAAAAAAAAAAAAAAAAACACTACTTATTAGGAGTAAAATTTACAAAGAAAGGAGAAAGTTTAACTACCCACTTCACCCCTTTTACCAATATGGAATCCCAAGACGGAATATTCTCATCACCTGAGCATCTTACCTCAAGGTAGCAATGACTTGTCATCTTCCAGGACTTAACGAAATGTATTACTCTTCAGGAAAACAAAAAAGTTAAGCCAGATTTTAGGGCAACATCCAACAAACAGGATACAGTACCCCAATTTTGACAATCTTCTTGTGAGTTTTTACCCAGTTGCTGTTAGCAAAAATGGAAGATCTAAGTAATGTCACTCCACATTCACTATTTCAGAAAATAGAAACTCATTTTTAAGTGACATAACTACTTCTATGTTATCACTACATTTATCAAAGCTATGTTTACCAACAGCAGAATCTAGCACATTTTATGGTTATTAGATGCTAATAATTACATGTTTACTTTTGTTTGGTTAAATTAATCCTTATAAAATATACATTTATTCAGTACTTGATCTTATTTCCTCTTACCCTAATCAAAAACAAAAATAAATTAAAATATATATACAGACCTTTTTTTTTTTTAAGAGAAATCCACTATACACATATACGAGGGTACTAAAAAAATTTCATGGAAAAATAAAATTAAAATATAATATGAATCTTTCCATGAACTTTTTGAAGCACCTTTGTATATTTATTCCTTGAAAATAAGGATCGTGTCTTATTCTTCCTAGAGTCTTTTACAGATATTACTTATGTTTGTTTTCAACAAATAAATAACACCTATATTATAATGAAAGGTGTTTTCTCACATTGTGGTATGCTCGTCTGCTTTGAAGAGACCCTATTGCTACAGATCGTGTCTTATTCTTCCTAGAGTCTTTTACAGATATTACTTACGTTTGTTTTCAACAAATAAATAACACCTATATTACAATGAAAGGTGTTTTCTCACATTGTGGTATGCTCGTCTGCTTTGAAGAGACCCTATTGCTACACACAAGTCTGGAGACCTGGAGCTCACAGCACTAACTCAGAGGTTCTGAAGATTCTAAACCTAAAACCAGGCAAAGGTTGGGACTTTCCATTCCCATTCCAGACAATGTTGCATGGTCAGTCATTGGGTAAAGGCAGGGACAATGGCATATCCAAAGCCATCATCTATTTCTCCTATCCCCAAGTCCCTCTGGCATAAGGATTAGGGAAATGTCGAGATCAGGAGCAAAAGAATGGGGAAAATATTCACAAGTCCAGCCATCCAGGGACATCCCAATAGGCTATAGAGCCAAGTGACTGTGGGTGTTCTTTGCCATGGGACTAGTAGGACTATCAGGACTACTCACTGTGGAATGGCCTCACACCCATGAGCTCCTGTGTCTTTGGCTGGAGCCTCCGAAGAAAATAATCAGGATGTGATCAGATCAATCATTTTATATAGAATACCCTGAGCACTTGCTGCCGGATCTGCCGAGTCTTCACCGCATAGACAAGAGGATTGAGGGCAGGTGGCACGAGAAGGTAGAGCGTGGCTAGAAGAACGTGGATGTGATGGGGTACATGGTGTCCAAAGCGGTGAGTAAGGAATGAGAAAATTCCAGGGACATAGAAAACCAGGATAACACAAACATGAGATCCACATGTGCTAAAGGCCTTAAGTCGGGCCTCACCCCCTGGTACCCTCAGCACTGCCTGAAGAATGAGGGCATAGGAAATAGCAATGGCCAGGACATCTAGCCCAGCCACAAGCAGTGCCACAGCCAGCCCATAAGTTCGGTTCACTATGGTTTCTGAGCAGGCAAGTTTTACCACAGCCATATGTTCACAGTAGGCATGGCCTATGACAGTGGCCTGACAAAAGATCAGGCCCTGCAACAGGATGGGAAAGGGGAGGAGGAGGACCAACCCCCGCACCAGGACTGCAATTCCAATACGTCCTATGACCCCCGGATGCAGGATGGTGGAATGGTGCAGAGGGTGACAAATGGCTACATAGCGATCCAGAGCCATGGCCACAAGTACACCTGACTCCATGGAGGAGAATGCATGGATGAAGAACATCTGGATCAGACAGACAGTGTACCCAATCTCATGGTCATGAGCCAGGAGCACTGCAATGGCTTTGGGTGCAGTGGAGGAGGCCAGGACCAGGTCAATGGCAGCTAGCATGGCTAGAAAGAGGTACATGGGTTGGTGCAAGGATGGGTCAGTCCAGATGATGAAGAGAATGATAATATTGCCCACTAGGGCAAGGAAGTAAAGGACACCCAGGGGCAATGCTATCCAGTGCTGGCTTTCCTCTAAACCTGGAATACCTGTCAGGAAAAAAGAAGGCTGGGGTAGCCTCCAGCTGGAATTGCTAAGGGCCATCACCAATATCTTGGAGAAGGAAGAGGAAAAAGAAACCGAAGTCATGATTTCTCCATTCCTGATACATTTTCACATCGTCCAGATCTGGTTACCATCTTCATGAGAAGAATATAGAGACTTAAACTGCAACACAAGGGAATAAAGTTAAATACAAGGAAGAAAATATTTTCTGAAGATGATTTTTTTTACAGGTGAGACTTCCACATGTCTGAATTAGGATAAGTCTAGTTTTATTTAGAGATAAGAGTAAATATCCACTGCTTTTGGAGAGACACTTAAACTGTACCATTACTGTACTTATATTTTGGAACTGTCAACTTGAAAACATTCTCTTTACTAACCTCTTGGCATTACTAAACACTATAAATCCACATGTTATTTTTGAAATGAGTCTCCCTCAGTTTCCATGACACAGCACTCCACAGTTCTTCCTTCTCCATCCCCAACCCCACCATCTTCTCCATCTCATTGTATGTAGCTGATTCCGGGGTTCCACGCTCTCCTCTCTTCCTACTCTGTACATTACCTCTGAGTTGAATTCATCTATCCCCATGGTTTTAATTATTTATATACTCACATTCTTCCTAATCTATGTTTCTAAGTCAAATATCATCCAGAAACACGAATCTGTTTTTCCATTTGCTTCCTGATTGCCATCCCACACACTCAATGTGTACAAGACTGGGTTAAGTTAATCAAACCTGTTCTACCTATTTTTTGTCAATATTTTTGTAAATAACCTCACTGTCTACCTACCAGTCTAGAAACTTGGTTTATTCTTAAATCATTCTCATCTCTCATCCCTTTGTACTCATTCACCAATTCCTCTTGACTTTATTTTTAACTCCTCATATACTCACTCACTCCTTTTTCTCAGCCTCCAATGTCATTGCCTTAGTACCCACTACCAACTTCTCTCACCTAGCTTGTTTACTAGATCTCTCTGTCTTTTCTTGAACCCCTTTCCAATCCACTTTCCAAACCTAAAGTCAGAAGGTTTTCCCAAAAGTGCAGATGGCATCATGTCACTCCTACGGTTTAAGTCCTTCAGTGAATTAATTCATGGTATAAAAGCATCCTTCTGAGACTGGCATACAGGGTTTTCAAAGGTTATCGTTTACATATTACTTTTTTCTTACACTTGACATATTCTCTCATGTATGTTTTGCTTAGAGTTGTGTGAGTTTATTTTACATTTGCCTTTTAGTATTCTTCCTTCCTCCTCCTTTATCTGAATTGGTCCTTCTTATCTGTCTCCTGCCCCTCAGAAGGACTCATTGACTGTGTTATGTCAACACAGATTAAGTTCGGAGAACTTTGTTCTATGATCCTCTTTGCTCATCCACAATGTTTTTATTTGTTTCTATTACAGAAATCTTTTCAGTGTCTTAGTGGTTTGTTTCAAGAGGAAGAACTATATCTCATTAAACTTCATAATTTCAATATAGCATTGTGGAGACTTCACTGTATAGTAAGATAAATACAAACTTTGGAGGCAGACATACTTGGGTTTAAATTCTCTCTTTCATATTCTAGGAATAAAACCTTGGCAACCTACTTAAACATTATGAATCTGGATTTCTTCATCTGATGGTAGAATAAATAATATCAGCCTCGTATAGTAAGATAAATACAAACTTTGGAGGCAGACATACTTGGGTTTAAATTCTCTCTTTCATATTCTAGGAATAAAACTTTGGCAGCCTACTTAAACATTATGAATCTGGATTTCTTCATCTGATGGTAGAATAAATAATATCAGCCTTACAGGTTAATTGTAAATATTAATAAAATTATGTATTTAGAGTCCTGATCTATAGATTATTTTATAAATTATAGTCATTACTGTCAACATTAATAATAAAAGATGACCTAATATAAAATGAAGGGACTTTGTCCTTTTTACTTTTTCTCTATAACACTGCTTCTCTGTTTCAAACTTTTGAAATGTCTGTCTTTCATCAATATGTTATAATAATTCAGTTTCTCTGACACCCCAGTGTTAACATGAAGTACCGAATAAATTAAGTGCTCTGTTTAACCTTCTCCATGTGATTCACTCCTCAAGCATTCAAACAAAAAATTCAAAACTGGATATGTTTGTGTCTGTATGTTTGTCTTAAAAGACAAATGCAGTCTGAAATAATTGTATTTTTCTATGGTGGAGGGGGAAGTGCACATGTATATGTAAATATAAAAAGAGTCAAGAATGACTCATTTCTTGTGCATCTGTAGACCATTCAGAGTGTCTTTTTTCATAAATCAATAATGACTATAATATTTCCCACAAATTCTGAACATGACAGCTATAAAATCTGAAATTCCTTGTGGGTATATACATCTCAGCCTTTGTTTTTCTTACAGGTTCAACTTAATGTAACAGTGACATTTTTATGGAGATGTCCACGGGAATCTCATAATCTTACAGAAATTCACCTTTCAGTGTGCAACAATCTACAGAGTGAGAAAGTTGATTCTCTTTCTCAGCTTCCCCTCTTCTGATGCAAGTTTCAGTCCATATCTCACTTTTCAGCTGAGAAGTCAGTGTTCGTGGCAGGTACTCACGGTTTTAGTAGGAGCAGCATCATCAGAGCAGGGGGACTGATGCCAAACTACAGTGGGTAAAGGAGAGAAGCAGAAACACATGCACCTGAGCATAAGCTGCCTCTTTTTTATGCTGCATGGCTTGTGAGCCTGGAGTAAAAGCCTAGAGCTGCTTATTAAGTGTTAAAGTAGACATGAGGTCCCTCTGTGATTCTTAGAAGAAAAGCAGAAGGGACTTTATTCCCAGGAACCTAAAGGTGAAAATGTATTTAGCTCTCTGACCAGGAAGTAGAGGACAATTAGCAAAGCACTTATGTGGCTCAACTGCTACTACTTATTCATGTAAATTCAATACAAGAGACCATCTTCTATGAAGTTGTCCTAGAATTCTGTAACACAGCATGATGTGTCTCCTTTCCTGCCCTACCATCATTTCTTCACTGCTTTGTCATTGCATTGATTACCTCACACTGTAAAACCCATCAGCATGTCGGTCCTTAAAGAGTAGGGACTATGCCTTGATTATCCAGCAGTCCCAGGGTAAGCTCCAGATGTGCATGGATTCTATTTTTTTACCCAGTAACATTGGTTGAATAAATAAACATCCATATGATTAAATTAAATAATAAATAAGTAAGTATATGAGTGTCTTAAAAAA